GGGTTGCCAGCCCCCACTCTCCAGGAAAGGAAGGTTCTGTTGCTGCCATCGGACATCCAGGTACATCTAGTGGCCAATATCTGGAATGTGTGTCAGAGCAGCCTGAGGAAGGGGCAAGTGCCCTGGTCAGTCTCAGCTCTGCTCTTGAAAGGGCTTGACCTTGAACAGGCTACTGAGCAGCCCTTCTGAGTCTTGGCCTCCTGTCTGTGAACAGGAGCAGGAGCCCCAGGCCTGCTCCCTGGCTGGGCTGCACTCACTGGTGACAGTGGGCTCTTCTCTCTCCTCACCAGGGATGTTGGACAGGTGGGCAGGGGCTTTGGGGAAGGGCTCGTGAGAACCCTGTCAGCACTACTAGCTCCTGCCTGTAATCCCTCCCCCTCCATTTCCTCAGCATGCCTTCACACACATCACTTCATTTGATTCCTAGATGTGTTTTGTTATTTTGCAGGAAAATACACATAACAGAACTACTATTTTAAAACTACATAGTTAAGTGGCATTCAATACACTCACGATGTTGTGCAGCCACTTTTGTCTAGTGCAGCCACTTTTTGCCTCAAATAGAAACTCCTAACTCATAAAGGAGTTACCTGTACCTGCTCTGCCCCCTCCCCCAGCCCTTGGAAAATACTAATCTGCTTTCAGTCCCTATGGGTTTACCTGTTCTGGACTATTGCAGCGTGTCTGTGCTTTCTATAAGCTGAGCACTCTATGTGGGGAGGGGCAGAAGCCATCCGAGAGCACTGGGCAGTAGGCCTGCCCAGCATGGGGTCAGGGCCTGGTGGTCACCAACGGGCAGGGCCAGGCAGCCTGAGGTGGTCCTCTGGGGCCTGCAGGGTGAACTGGCTCTCTCTCTGGGGGCCTTATTACAGACCTGTCTGCTCTGTCTGGGAAGGGTAAGTGTGCAGAGGGGGGCAGCCTGATAGGCGGGGCACACCCTGCACAGAGCCAGCCTCAGCTGGAGCCAGCAGCCTGGGGCCACCACCTAACATTGAGCCTGTTGGGGGGGCACCGTGAGCACAGCCAGGCAGGCCTGGACTTGGCAGGATGGGCACTGCACCCTCCTCATGGACAGGATGGCAGCCTCGGACGGTACACAGAGGTGTGCAGGGTGCCGGGAGCCCTGTGCCCATCACCAGTTAGTTGGTGGCGCTGTGTGCCAGTTTGCCATGGAACCACACAGGGCCTTGTGCGAATGGGCCTGCAGGTTTGGGGGGGGGGGCCCATTCAGCAGGAGCAGGGGTGTGGCTGGGGTGGGGACAGACCTCCCTCCCCACTCTGTTTGCCAGGGCTTGGGGCATGTGCACACTGCGCAGGGACTGGTCATATCGGCGCTACATCAGTGTATGTGTGGCTATCCTCCCAGTGGCCCCCCGTGTGCCAGTTATCACTTCACCAGGGCCTGGCAGCACTGTTCACAGGGCACAGTCCCGAAGGAGCGAGGGCACGGTGTTCTCCCAAGGCCTCCCAGCGCCTCACCAGTGCGGGCACAGCTCAGCTCCCAGAGTCGAGTCTGCCTGCTGCCCAGTAGGTCGCCCTTCCCAGCATGGCAGCAGGCTTCATCCAGGCTGGTGTAGGCAGGGGTGTCTCTGATTTCTCTCTGACCTCTTCTCTCAGTGAAAACCCCTGGGGTCCCCCATGATGTTCTTTTCAGTTAACTTGGGTCTACTGACTGTGGACCTTCCTCACACCCCTGAAACACCCTGACCTTGCCCTGAGTCGGTTGAGATGTACCTGGTGTTGGCGGGGCCTGGGCTCTGGGCCGAGCCCGGGTCGAGCAGGTCCACAGGCCATGGGGGCCCTTGGGGAGATGCCTCCCTTGCAGGAAGGGCCTTGGTTAGAGGAGGGATCCAGAAGGAGGCTGGAGCCAGAGGCTGAGCCAGGTGCCTGGTGTGCCGCCAGGACACAGCGGGCTGTGGCCCCCTAACCTGCCTCCACCCAGGTTTCAGGATTTCAGGGGAGCAGGGTGCGGACAGCCTGAAGTCACATGGGTGACCGAAAGCTCAATTTAAGTTTTAAAAATAGAACTGGAGACAGTCAAAGGAGTCTCTCCACTCCCACCCCCAGCATAGAGTATTTCTAAAGGAAATTGCTTCCTATTTGTGACTCTTCTGTTCTAGAGCATGTGGCCCTCAGAGCCACCAGTTCCTTAGTGAATTTTCTGTGGGGGATGGAATGTGCTTTCCTGACTTAATGGAGGGGGTGGAATGTCACAGGTCACTCGACAAGGGCCAGTCACGCCACCTCTTTAAACCTGCCACAGAGTATAGAGCCATGTGTTCAAGGGCGCCTGGCCAGAGCTGGGAGGGGCCCGGCCCAGCTCCTCTGCTGAGAAGCTGGGTGAGCACCAGGGGTGCTCAGCAGGGAGCTGGACTCCAAGGTGCTGAGGGAGCCCAGGGAGGTGCTCCCCCGGGACCCTCTCTTCCCATGGCAAGGGATGGAATGGAGCTGCAGGTGGAACCAGGAAGGCCCTGGGTCTGGTCTTGGGCAGCCATATGGCTGCTTCAGGGCTGCTGCGCCTCCACCACTGGCCCTAGGTCTGCCCTTTCTCAGGGATCTCTACTGCTCCCAGCCTGATGGCTTTTCCTGTGGAGCCGTCCCCGGGTGGGAGATGTCCCCTGGGTGGGAGTTGTCCCCTGGTGGGCTGCTTCAGGTGCATCATGGCAGAGTGAGAGCTCCCCTTTCATTGGCCCTGCTGCTGGCACTGGGCCAGGAAGCGGACCTGCTACCTGGAAGGTGCAGATGAACTCTGGTAGAAAAGCTAGAGCTGGCCCCACCCTGGGCCCTGATCTGACCCAGTCTGGGCCTTGACTGGTCTCCCCACTTGGCTCCTTCCACCCATGGAGAAGCATTCCTGGCTTATTACCACAGGCCTGGCGGCCTTCTCTGCAGGCTTCCTCATGGGTCCATCTGTTTTTGTTTTTTTTTTCTGGAATGATCTCCCTGCCTACCCCCTTCTGGTGAATTTCTTCTACTACACCTCAGCTTAGGCCTCACTGTGGCCCAGCAGGCTTCGTTGGCCTGGGTTTGGGGGTGGGAGTCAGCCCAGGCAGGGAGGGATAGGTACCAGTGGGGGCTGGGCATTGGGGAGTTACCCCAGCCCTCTTGTCCTCTCTCTCTGTGGCATGGTCCTTAATGCAGGGTAGCCCAGGATCCAGGGCCTGCAGGTGAGCCAGCCCTGAGTAGGGCAGCTAGCCTTGCCAGGATCCACACCCTCTCCATGCCCCTTGTTCCACCATGGCCTCAGCTGCTGGGTCTGGCAGGGTGATAGGGTGCCTGGCTGCAAGTTCACCAGATCAGGTGAGGGCCTGGAGGAGCGTGGCATGGTGTGGTGACCGGGCACAGCGCTGGGCATATGTGACCCTGAGCCAGCCCGAGAGTCCTGGCCTGCAGCTGCAGGATGACCCTGAGCGCAGCAGCAGGAGGGAGAGCAATGGGGGTGGAGAGCGGGGGTGTGGGCAGGGTGACCAGTGGCCAGGTGTACCCTGACACAGGGGTGCCTCCATTTGACAGGTCACTGTGTTGGCCTCTGTTGGCTGTTTGTTCACAGACTCTCTCCCCTCTGGAAGGAGTGGGAGAAGGAGGGCAGGGGCTGCTGCTTTTCCTGCTCCTGGTGACTGTGAACTGTGACCTGCTCTGCCTGGAGTGTGCCAGGTGCCAGGGGATGCTCAGGGGAAGGAGAAGCAGCCTGTGTTTTCTAAGCTGAAAGCAGCCAGATGAAAGTTCTAGGAAGGCAGCTCTTGGCTTAGAATAAGGATAGTGTTATGTCGATGTGAGTTTACAAGCGGGGTGAGTGAAGGTGATGAGTCTGTGCTGCTTGCAAGAGCCTGGCAGACAGGTATCTTATGATGATGGAGGATGGATGGATGGATGGATGGATGAATGGACGGACACAGGACAGACTAATAGATGGAAGGATGGGTGGGTGAGTGGATAGCGAGCTGCCCTGCTAGGAGTACGTGGTACAAAGTGAGTGCAGGGAGTTGTCCCTCGTGAGGCAGATCTTGAGTCCCGGGAGTGGGAAATGAATGCTTGCGGCACATGCACGCACTTGCTCCCACACACATCCTTTCTTTGGAGAGGGTCCCTCCCTACAGAGGCAGACCCTGAGTCCTGCTCCTGTGCATTACTGTGAGCCCAGTCCCTTCGTCCTCGCTATACCAGGCCTTCCAGTCCTCAGGAGCCAATAGGAAAACCTGAATTTCAAAACCCACAAGTATAGTCACCCCTTTTGGTCAACCCACTTGCCTTTTAACAGGCCTCACATGGCTTGGCTCCAAAGGGAACAGCTGGGAGCTCTTCAGGTGTGGAAGACTCAGATGGGGTCTCTGAGGTGCCTGCTGGGATGTGGCAGTCCTGCGCAGGTGCTGAGGAGGCTGGGGCAAGGGCAGAGCTTGCCCAAGGCTTCAGGGCACCAAGTCCACTAGGGGAGTGGGACACGAGGACCACGTGGGATGCATGCCAGATGCGGAGGCCCGTGGACACCAGGATGGCCTGGGGCACAACCTGGGGCATGTGCCTTTAACTTTCTGAGGTTCACTTTCCTCTACAGTACCAGTGCCTCGCTGGACAGGGTAGGAGTGTGCAAACTGGTGGTCTTTGGGCTGCATCTGGCCTGCTGACATGCACAGAATCCAAAACAGTTTTCATTAATCACCTATTTTTTGTTTGTCTGTCTTTAATCAGGATACTTCATATACAAGTCAGGATTTCTGACTTCTCTTGGAAAACCAAAAACCTAGCAGGCCTGGGCCCCCTTGGTGCTATTCCCTCAGGGCAACAGGGCGTTCGTGCCTGGGACAGCCCCCTGGGTGGGCCAGTGCTCCCCTGGCACCCTGCCCCCTGCAGCCACTTTATCACCTGCCTAGCCCGGATAGGCACTGAGTTGGAGGCCCTTGGACTGGCTCCTCTGGGGGGCAACTTGGGGGACAGGGGTCGGCAGGAGTGGCAGCCTCCTCTTCAGGGTAGTTACCCCATATCCCCATGTCCCCTACCTGCAGCTTCACCCAGGCCATGCTGAGCCAGCCCAGGATGGACAGCCTGGACAGCCCCGTGGCCCTCCTGGCAGGCCTGCTGCTCCTGGGTGTTGGCAGCGTGCTGGTGCTCTCCAGCTTCTTTGCGCTGGGCTTCACTGGGACCTTCCTAGGTAAGACCCCAAGAGCCCAAGAGCTGGGGGCTGGGGAGGGGCTGGAGCTGACCTGTTTGGGGTCTGGGGAGGAGCGGGGTGGCTGACTGCCCTGCCATCTGTGACAGCTGCATGGGGCTTGGGGCACCTTCCCTCTTCCAGGCCTCAGCTTATCCCTGTTCAGCTTAGGAAGTGGGGCTCTCACTTCTCATCCTGCTGCTTGGCTGCCAGGCCAGGCAGGATATCTGTCTGCTGTGTCTGGACCACGAGCCAAGGCTGGAGCAGGACTAGGACTAGAGTGTGGGGCGGGGTCGGGGGGACACCATCCCTTTTTGGCCCACAGCCCTGGTGACTTCGGGCTGGGGGCTCAGTTCGGGCCTGGCTGGAAGTCCTCATGACATCAGTGACTTCCAGCAACTTGGAAGCCTGGGAAGGAAAGCCACAGGGAATGGCAGCAGGGGCAAGGGTGACATTGGGACAGGGAAGGAAAACAGGAGGTGGCCACTGCTTGAGGGGGAGCTCCTCCCAGCAAGCAGGTGGCAAGGGCAGGTGCCTGGCTGCCTGATGGGCTGGGTCAGGGGCCTGGCTCCCTCCCCCTCTCATCCCTGCCTCAGTTTTCCCCAGTGCCTGGGTGGCATCTGGTGCCTAGCTTGTCTGGGCACCTCTGTTCACCATGCTATCTGCGGGGCTCTGGGCTGGGCACTGCAGGCTGCAGCAGGGGCCCCAGAATCCCCCAGGAGCATGTGGTACCATGGGGAGAGAGGCTCTCCTCTCAGCCCTGGGGCAAGGCCTGGCAGTGCCTCAGGTTCTGGTAGGCACCACAGAGAGTCTGGGGCTGAAAGAGGAGCACAGCAGGGAACCGGGGAAGAAGGGAAGTTGAGAGCACCTGGTTCTGGCTGGTGGGCTGGGTGGGAAGGACAGGCCCAGGAGCAAACTTGAGCTCGAGGGAGAGTGGCGGATGGCATGCTGGAGAGGCAAGCAGGTCGGCTGGTATACAGGGCCAGTGGGGGCCGCCTCGAGGTTGGGCAAGGCCACATCACTCGGGTCCCCAAAGGCCATGCAGGGGACTGACTTCACTCCCAGGGAGGAAGGGGCAATGGCAGGAGTTGGAAAAACCCTCTTTCGGCAATGATTGTCCTGGTGAAGTTGTTGGCTAGGGTAGGGGTTGAGGGGGGGCCAGGGAGGGGCAGTGATTGTGGTATGGGCGTGGCCAGGCTGGTGGGAGGGAGGAGGGCACTGTGCTGGCCAGCTGCGTCCTCTGGAGACCTGGTGTGCACAGCCCTCCAGTGCTCAGGCACTGCTGCAGGGTAGACACAGAGCCAGGAAGGGGCTGGCATGGCCCCCACCACCCAGGGCAGTGTGGCAGCAGTGCATGGTCAGAGCTGCTTGGTGAGGCTCAGTGGGAGGGGTGAGTCAGGGTGGGCGGGGTGAGGGAAGGGACCTGATGACACCGACCACTGCAGGCCCAGAGGGACCGGCCTAAATCTTGGAGGGCTGCTGTGCTGCATGTGGGTCAGGCAGCCACCTCCCTGCTGTGCAACAGCCCCAAGCGGGTTTCTGTGCCACCACCTCCAGACCCACCGGCCTCCTGGAGAGAAAGCCGCCCCAGCTCTCCCTGGGCCCGAGCCCTTTGTCCCCAGACAATGGGTAGGTGACGCAGATTCTGCAGGTTCCTCCCGCCTGTGGCTGTCCTACTTCTGCTTCAGATGAAGGTCCAAGGGATTTCTGGGAAGAGGAACCCCTGACTCCAGGGCAGTGGGGCCCCCTGTACCTGCCTCAGCCCCTCAGCCACAAGGGCCGCTGCCCTCCGAGAGGTCTGTGTGCCCGTGGCCTAAGCAAGCCTGCCCCCGGGGGTCCCTGACTTGTATGCTGATAGACCTGCTCCCCCACAGTTTGGAGCCTCCTGGAGGGTAGGCCCTACAGGCCAACCCCTCTCTTAGGGATGGTGTGGCCAGGGTGTGAGCCTTTGACCTGCCCTGCCTTGTCCACAGGTGATTACTTCGGGATCCTCAAGGAGTCCAGAGTGACCACATTCCCATTTAGCATCCTGGACAACCCCATGTACTGGGGCAGCACGGCCAACTACCTGGGCTGGGCCGTTGTGTGAGTAGTGGGCCTCCTGCCCGTCCCCCCACTGGCTGTCCCCACCGGGAAGACAGCAGCCTCAAACCCCTTGTACAGCCGAGGGCGCCAGCCAGCTGTGTCCTTTGGGATAACTGCTTTGTGGATACAAACAACACCTAGAACAGGGGTCGGCAGACTGTCCCTCGCAGGGTCAGAGAGGAGGGAGGCTTGTGAACCCAAGGCAGGAGAGAGGGTCTGTGCCCGTGGGTTCTGAATGAGCTGGTATGACTGGGTGTCATTGTGCTCACTGACATTTGAGTCTCCTATGATTTTCAGATGTCACAAAATATTGTTCTTTTGATTCTCTTTTAACCAGTAAAGAAGTACACACCATCTTGGCCTATGGGCCCCTGTGCTAGGGCACCGGGGTGGGCAGCAGCAGCTCCCGGGACTGCTGCAGACCTCAGGGGCCCTGGCACCAGCAGGGCCTGCATCTGTGCATGAAACGGGGTTGCAGAACTCACCCTGCAGCAGGACAGAGTCCCAGTGCCCACAGGAACCTGCGGGCCACAGGACTCAGCGCTGCCTGGCGAGCAGTCCAGCTCCAGCCTCCGCCAGGCCAGGCAGAGCGTGCCTTTCCAGAGCAGTTCTTGCTTGTGGAGAGTGTGCTGCCTCTACTTAACACCCGAAGACCACCTGCCTAGGTCACAGGTGTTCCCAGAGGCCAGGCAGGTTACAGAACACAAAGGAATGAATCTCAAATGGTAGAACATCAGGACTGAGATATTCTGCCCTATGCCCCGCCCCCACCCCAGATCCGAGAGCACTGGGCTTTTGAGTGAGGAGCAGCTATAGAAGGGCTTGTGGGCTTGGCCGGGACCCGCCCCACACACCCCAGTTCCACTTCTAGACTGGGAAGCCCCTGGGCCCTCTTGCCCAGATGTGTAAGATGGGCTCCTGGGGGCCTCAGGCTTGCCTGCTCCACAGAGCACCTCCCACCGGGACCGAGAGGATGGGCCCTCCCCCTCCCTACCAGCATGCAGGCTGTTCCTTCCCACTTCCACCTTCAGTCTGTCCTTTCAAACTCAGTTTGAGGTGTCCTCTCCTCTAGGAAACCCTCCCTGACCTGCGCCCCCCTCCCACCATGGGTACCTCATCCATGCTCAGATGGGGCCTTTTAAGGACAGAGCCCACACATGGGCCACCTCTGTACCCAGCCAGAGCCTGGAATCCTGGAATGAGAGATCACTGCCCACCCCCCGAGCCCCACCCCAGGGCTGTCAGTACCTGCAGGCCCCTCAAAGAGGACCTCAGCACACAGCCAGGTGGTGGGGCCTCAGCTGTGCTGGGGGAGGGAGCCCTCCATCCATCTTCCACCTGACAGCTCATCAGAGATAAACCATTAAAGGGGCTTCCAGACGCTGACTCGACAAGGCCGCTTCTAGGACTTTTGTAGCCCATCTGTCTCCCTTCTGGGGCCCTGTAGGTAGGACTTCCCAGGGTCCGAGCAACCGGAGTATATGAGCCCTGGTAGGCCTGGGCACAGGACTCCCAGGCCACCGGGTGAGGCCAGGGCAGGGCACCAGGGCCTCACACAGCCCCCAGGCCCAAGGCTCACTGCTGGGTCGCTAGGACCAACCCTGCCACCTCCCCAGGCTTAGTGCCAGGGCTGGGCCCCATTTCCTCATCTGCAGTCGCATGGCCACTTCCACACAAGACTGCCAGGGTGCTAGACAAGAACATGGCAGCATGGGGAGGCAGGAGCGCTGGACGTAGATATAACGGAAACAAGAAGCTGGTGCAGCTCATGTTCTGGGGTCCAGTGTGAGCCTGGCCGGGGCCTGGCTGAGGCTGGCGGCAGGGACCACGTTCCTTCCTGGTCTCCAGGGCCCCTAGTTAACGTGGCTGCCCAGGTCATCCATCTTAGGGACCCCGTGGCTGTGGAGCCAGCACCTGGGCTCCACCAGAGCTGGCCCCTGAGCCCTGCCTGCGGGTGGGCCCCGGATGGAGGGGGGCGAGGTCCAGCCTGTCATTACCGCCTCCCCCCTGGAGGCAGTGCTTGTTCCAGGGAAGCACGCTGGGCCCAGGGACGAAGCTCCAGGAGGGCAGCCTTTGTCTCGGTTTGGCCTCAGCTTCTGCCTGTGAAGGTAGAGCCACAGGGCAGAAGGGGAAGCATGAGGCACGCTCAGTCTTCCTGGGACTGCCTGACAGAAAGACAGCAGGAGGCCACGGCAGCAGGGCAGAGTGTCCTCCAGCCGCTGTCCTGGGGCCGGGCACCTGGGCCCCCCTGCGAAGGAGGCAGTGCTGGGGATGCAGAGCCAACCGGCCATTCTCCCCGCCGCCCTTCCTCTCTCCTCCCTGGCTGTCTCAAGTGGTGACCCAGCCCCTGCAGAGTCCCTGGGACCCAGAGGACTACAAAGAAGATGAGGACAGTCCAACAGCAGGCTCACGGGCTCTGGCACGCAGCCGTCACCAGTGCCCATATGGGGCCTGGGGACACTGTGCTTCGCCTTGGGAGCCTCGGTCCCATTTCTAGAAAACAGGGTATCGTTACTGGTGGGCAGTGGTAGCATATTCTGTCTCCTGGAACACCCGCCCATCCAGAACAGGATGCACTTGACCACTTGGGAGATGCTGAGAGGACAGTCGTTCCTTCCTTCCCTGATCCACTCCTGCGACACTCTGAGCTCTTGGCTGGGAGCTGGAAACCTGACCAAAGGGACCCTGCCTGAGGCAGCCTAGACAGGCAGGGTGCTGGTCCACTGGTCAGACCGCAGACAGGGGTGGGGGACGCCCTGGCCACCCGGCTAGCTCATGAGGTGCAGGATCCAACATGGTAGGCAGGGGGCCCAGGGCCAGGCCTGCCCACTAACTAGGCATGTCCTCTCCCTAGGCACGCCAGCCCTGCCGGCCTGCTGCTGACGGCAGTTGTGGCCCTCACCTATGTGGTCGCCATCCTGTATGAGGAGTGAGTAGGCACTGTTGTGGGCCTGGGGCTAGGGTTGCTGCCTGACGTCACTGTGGCCAGCTAGCTGGTTCTCAGGACCAGGACAGGCTGGGTCAGCCAGGCCATGCCCGGCCACTGGCAAAGGGCAGATATGAAGCTCAGAGTATGCACAGTGGGGGCCCAGGGCCCAGAAAGACAGTCACTCTGTCCATGCCCCAGGGGGGCAGGGCCTAGGAGTGTCAGTGTCGCACCCCAGACCAGCTGACCAGAGCCTCCCCTGCCTCTGCAGGCCCTTCACCGCTGAGATCTACCGGCAGAAAGCTTCCCAGCCTGACAAGAGGAGCTGACCAGGCCATACTAAGGGTCTGCTCCTCCTGGCTGGCCTGTCCACCCACATGCCTAGTCCAGGAGGGCGCAGTGCCCGGCCACTGCTCAGTGCCTGCCTGGCCAGGGCCACCCCAGTGCCTTGGGAACTGCTGCCTTGGGGACCGTGGACATGCTGCTGGGTGGCCACTGAGCCCCTGCCCTGCTGCCCCCTCCATGTTTTAATGCACCAATAAAGATCCCCCTACCCCAGCTTCCCGTCTGGGTCTCTGTCTGTCTAGGTGGGAAGGAATTTCCTGGAGCTGCTGTTACCCCAGCTCCAGGCCAGGCTGGCACAGCCCTACCCCTCCCTGAGGTGGTCCCACTGTCCCTGTGTGGTTGGAGGGGACTTCCCCACACACTGGGGCCTGCCTCGACCCTGACCCAGCATCCCCTCCTCTGCACCTTCCCTTCAGGGAGCCAGCCTGACTTGGGGGCAGGCATTTCATCACACTGGCTAGCAGCCCAGCACCCCCGTGTGCCAAGGGGCTCCCAGCCCCTGTGAGCGCTGGTATCCAGGGAAAGTGATCAAAGAGTAAAACATATGCTGAAAAAATTTTTTAAATTGTACATGTTGTTCTGTTTATTTACTTAATTCATTTATACTGTTTTTTTTTTTTCAGAGAGAGAGAGAAACATTGATTTGTTGTTCCACTTATTGATGCATTCGTTGGTTGATTCCTGTAGGTACCCTGACCGGTATCACACTCACAACTTTGGCGTATTGGGATGATGCTCTAACCAACCGAGCTGCCCGGCCAGGACCATGCTGAAAATTTAAAAAGTGACATGAACGTACCTGGTAGACGTGGGAGCCCATGGTTGATATGGTGGTCAGGGGCCAGGCCTTTCTGAGGAGGTGACATTTGAGCCGAGGCTGTGGGGGAAGGGGCCGGACCACGGACACCTGGCCTGCACTGACTCTGGCCAGGCTGTGTCACATGAGGTCTGTAGGGACTGGGTCACCCCATTTTGGTAGCAGAGGATGAGGGGCTCAGAGAGGCTGGGTGGCTCATCCCAGGGGACACACGAGTGAGTGACAGCACGTGAACTGGAACCCATGTCAGGCCCACCCTGAGCCCACGCCCCCTCTCCCTCTCAGGGAGGGCTTGCCACACGGGGCCGGGGCACTTCCGGCTCAGCCCTGAGCCCCTGGCTGAACTTGGCATCTCCAGCTACTGCTGCCTTTCTCCTGGCCCCTCTTGGGCCTCGTGTTGCCTCAGGGAGCAGGTCATATGACCATTTGGGCCTGTTCACTGAGCCTGACCACAGCCCTGTGGACAGGGCAGCCCTGCCAAGGACACAGCCTCGGCCTTCTCCCCATTCGAGCTGGGCTCCACCTGTGCACATGGCTCCATGGGCCTCAGTCTCTCACCTGTACAATGACCACTGTAGTCATGCCTGCTTGTGTATATAGCAGGTGCTCAGGTAGTGCTGGCTGTCACCCTTGGAACTCCTCCAGGCTTTCTCTGTGGCTCCTGTCACAGAGCCTGAGAGGCACAAGCTGCATTTCATGCTTCAATCCCTGCCCGTCTGCCTGGGCCACGCCTCGCTCAGTGCAGGCCTGGGAGTTCCAGGCATCTGGACCCAGGGGTCATGCACAACTGTGGCCTGACCTGGCTCTGCTGTGGGGAACAGAGCTCAGGGCCAGGAGGAGATAGATGGCCAGACTGTGATGTGGGGAGCCTGTCAGAGGGAAAGCCAGACCTGCTGTGTCAACAAAAGGCCCCGACACCAATCCGGTGCCTGTGGGAGGCCCCAGTGGGGTGGGGGGAGGGGGGAAACCTGATGTAGTGAAACAACAAACCAGGGAAACAGTCTGCAGGAGAAGCTGGAAGTGCGCCCCACTGAGATGGGGGGGTGGCTTGTACTGAGGAAGTTTCCACCCTCGTTCAAACAAGGGCTCCAAATTCATGTGGTTTCACTGGTCCCGACTATACTGTTACAATTGGCCGACATGAGCTGGTCTGGTCAGTAAAAGTGCCAATGCGGGCATAGCTGTACAGCTCCACCTGCCTGGGGAAGGTCTCCCTCAGTCCTGCCCGGGGGGCTGGGCTGCAGGAGTGGAGCACAGCCCAGCAGGGGGCAGCCCACACTGTGGCTTTCCTGAGAGTGACTTCTGCAGCAGGCCTCTGTGGACAATGGCTGCTAGCCTCTGGTGATGAACTGGGTCCTCTTGGCAGGTGTATGTTTTGTTTTGTCGGGGTTGATGATGGGGCCCCTTTTCTCTCCTCCAGGCACTGGCTGTGTCCTGGGTGACAGGACAGGCAGGGCCAGGGCTGTCCATGCCAGGAGCTGCTCCAGCTGGCGTGACGCTGCATGGACATGCGGGTGCTTGCTGGCGGTTCCCACATGCCTCGACCCCACGAGGGGGCCAGCCTGACTCCCCTCACGCTCAGCTTTCAAGAACCTTCTCAAGCCTCAGTGCCACCAGACCAGGCTGTGGCAGATATTCCCTCCTTGGGGCCCAGTTGTCCACCCCAACGCATTCCCAACATCTCAGATATTTTTAGGAGCTCAGTCCCACTCCCAGCAGGGAAACTGCTACACTGCAAGTCATGATATTTACAGGCAGGTTCAGCCTTAAAAATGCTGCTTGTTGCCAAATACAGGAAACAAAGTCATGTGTAACAATTACAAACCCAGACAACATAAAAATAATCCTGTAGCTGGAAGGACGAGGCGGGTGGGAGTGCTGGGAAGCAGGAGCATCTAGCCAGAGCCAGGATGGCAGGCTGGTGGTTATGAGGAATGGCCGCTTGTCTCTGCCTGGCTGACCAGGGGACAGAGGAGGGGCACTCACCTGTTGAAGATACACTGGGACTCAGCCTGGGTGGAGCCTGGTGCAGGCGCAAGGGCCACTCTGTAAGAACAGAAAAGCGAGCTCAGTGGACAGAGGTGGGTGGTGGGCAGCTTTGAGGGGCCTTCGGTGCGTGGGAGTGAGTGCCTCCCCAGGGTGAGCCTCACTCCCATGGGGTGGGGTAGGGGGGTTCTTGCTTCCAATTCCTTTCACTCCGTTCCTTTCTGAATGTGAATGTTTTAAAAACATGAACATGTATTTTTAAATCAAGAGATATGCCTTTAAAAAAAGCAGAAATGAGGCAGCCCAAGCTAAGTGGCACCTCTGCCCACTTCCTGAGGAGCAAGGGTCCTGGCCGCTCTCGCAGAGGTGGGGCACACAGGCTTTGGGGCCTTCATCAGGCTCAATGGACCTAGCTGACCCGGGAGAACAAGCCTTACAATCTGGTGCCTGTGTGGCAGTGCAACACTCCCAGCTAGTTCCCTAGCGGGAACAGCCCACTAGGTGTCCTAGGGCTGAGCTGGGGTCAGAATCTTGACCCTGCTGCCCTCTGGCCTCTGTTCCCTAAAGTGGCCCTTGAACTGGAGGCCACAGAGGCGTGGTTGCCTAAGAGCCATCGTTACTCCAGCTCCAGACATGGGCAGTTAGGAAGGGGCCACAGCCGCCCTGTCGCAGGGCCCCTCTGCCTGGTGTCTTCACGGAAGGCCCCTCTTCCTGGATGATGTCGGCCAGGCGTGGCTGTCCCTGCTCACATCCTCGGCTGGCCCTGTGGATGCCACATGCTCACCTGCTCAGCGAAGATGGGGAGGGCAGGGGAGGTCAGCCTCAACAGGGACAAGAGTGGTCTTCCAGACACTGCCTCTGTAAGTGGCGGCAAGAATCCAGGCTGGCTGGAACTGTGGACAGTTCAGATCCAGGTGGCTCCCCATGTGCTGTGTGCCTTTGAAACGACCTCACGGGGACAACTGGAGGGGGCAGGGTGCTCTGAGAAGTGGCTCCTGGAAGGGGCACAGGCAGAGGACAGCAGGTGTCTAAGCGCCCAGGGGCTGGAGCCCAGCCCTCCAGTTCCAAGCTGTGGACCCTGGCAAGTTGCTTCTCTCTGCCTCAGCTTCTCCACCTGCAACACACAGTAATAGCTCTCAGCCCTTAAAGGTCGCTATGAGGAAGACTTTAGAATAGCACCTGGCCTGGAATAAACCCTCTCCTGGCATCCCCCTGTGGAGAGTGTGAGATTTCACTGAATCTTGTCACAGAGAGGCTGAAGAGATGACCTTGGAGAATGCCTTCCCAGGCAGCTGAGATTCCACAGGCCCTATGCAAACAGCGGAAGGGTGTGGGCTGGCACCCCCAGGATGGCCCAGGGCACCCTGGCCCATGGGGGTGGGGGTAAGGATGGGGTGGGGGTGGCACCAGCTAATGGCTCCCTTGCTGTATTCCTCCAGGTCAGACACAAAGCAAAACACAGCACAGCCTCATCTGTCGCTCGAGGAGCAATGGCCTTTCCAGGAGCTCCAAGCTCGAGCAAACCAGCTCCAGACAGCCTATTTCTAGGCTCTTCAGGAGTATCAGCCCACCCCTGGTTACTGATCAACCTACTGCCCTCCTCATTTGCTCCTGACCCCCCCCCCCCCCAGCCACCTGCCCAGTCCTGCAGCCTCACGAGTCACGTACTATTGTAATTACCAGGTCCTGCCTTCTAAACTGTTTGCACTGTCTCACCCACAATCACAGAACCAGAACCACCATCTTCCAGAAAGCACTCTGAGGCCCAGAGAAGGCAAGAGATGTGTGGCAAGCCTAGGACCTTCCTCAGTTCATTCTGTGGCTGAGAGACCCAGCTCCCCTATAAAATGGAAATGTTCACCCAAGGGACTCTAAAGGCGTGCGCGCGCGCACACGCGCACACACGCACACACGCACACACACCGCTATGGAGGAAAGGGGAGAGGACGTTGGCCTCTGCCTGACCAAGAAAGGGCAAGTTTCTAGTCCTTTTTGGGCTGAAGACAGGAAAAGAAGGGGCAAAACCCCTACTGGACTCCTCTGCCAGGCCCCAGTGCGCATGTGGTGGGAAAAACAGACGGGGCGAGGGATGGCTCCTGCTGAGTGCGGCCTGCCACCCCAAGGCCCAGACCCGCACCTTCCCAGACCCCAAACTTGCAGCTCAGTGCCCACTGCAGCTCTGAGTGTGGCGCCCTCTGCTGCCTTCTGGCGGCCGGAGCGCGTGGCCCAGGACCGAGCAACCGCCAAGTGACGGGAACCTGGCTGGCACGGTGGGCTGTTTTCAGGCCTGTAAGAGGTAAGGTGAGCAGAGCACTGGCATGGTGCCCAGCACCTGGTAAGTACCTGCTGTTACGCTGCTGCGATGACCGTATCACTACTGTTATCCTCTGGGAAAAATGCCCCAAGAAAGTGTGCATGTTGTGGACGGGGTGTGTGCCGGAAGTCAGAGGTCAGAGGCACCTGCGGGACCACAACTATGACGCCCTTGCGGCCGCTTACCGTGTGCGGTGGAAGAGCACAGGGTCGGCTCGTCCTTAGCCTTAGCTGGATCCTCAGCTGTTTCCTAACCGACCCCAGCGGGGAGCAGCAGCTTGCTGCCCAAGGCGATCGAGGGAGGGGGTAGCGGGAGGCTGCGGGCGTGACGCACTGTGGCGAGCGAGCGGGCGGGCGGGGCTGCCCCCTGGCTGCTTATAAAGGCAGACGCTGGGCGCAGAGAGCAGAGGGAGCGAGCAAGCGAGCGACTGTGTCCAAGAATCGGAGCAGCTTCAGGAGCCAAGCCCGAACCCAGCCACAGTCAAGCAGATCCCCCGAGCCACTCTGCGACTCTCTCAGACCCTCGTCAGCCCGCGACCCTTCTGCTCAATGAAACTGGCCGCGATGATCAAGAAGATGAGCCCGAGCGATTCGGAGCTGAGTATACCGGCCAAGAATTGCTACCGCATGGTCATTCTCGGCTCGTCCAAGGTGGGAAAGACAGCCATCGTGTCGCGATTCCTCACGGGTCGCTTCGAGGACGCCTACACTCCCACTATCGAGGACTTCCACCGCAAGTTCTATTCCATCCGCGGCGAAGTTTACCAGCTTGACATTCTTGACACGTCAGGCAATCACCCGTTCCCCGCCATGAGGCGCCTCTCCATCCTCACTGGTGAGCTGAGCACGCGGCCGGGCAGCGGTGGGGGGATGGAGCTGTGCCACCAGGAGGGCTGGCGCCGGCGAGATTGTGACCTAGAGGGGCGGTCAGCGGGTCCACCGCCACGCGCCAAGTTTGCACGTGGAGAAGTCTGAGTTACCTGGTGCGCGGCTGCTGGAGCCCCACCGCCTGGGTGACCCCGAAATTAAGACCAACTTAAGTTGTCCCCTTGGCAGCCCCCTCACCTTCCCCTCTTCTGCTCTTCTCCCATAGGAGATGTTTTCATCCTTGTGTTCAGCCTGGACAACCGCGACTCCTTCGAGGAGGTGCAGAGGCTCAAGCAGCAGATCCTCGATACCAAGTCTTGCCTCAAGAACAAAACAAAGGAAAACGTGGACGTGCCCCTGGTCATCTGTGGCAACAAGGGTGACCGGGACTTCTATCGAGAGGTGGAGCAGTCCGAGATAGAGCAGCTGGTGGGCAACGACCCCCAGCGCTGCGCCTACTTCGAGATCTCGGCCAAAAAGAACAGCAGCCTGGACCAGATGTTCCGGGCACTCTTCACCATGGCCAAGCTGCCCAGAGAAATGAGCCCGGACCTGCACCGCAAGGTGTCGGTGCAATACTGCGAGGTACTGCACAAGAAGGCGCTGGGGAGCAAGAAGCTGCTGCGAGCTGGGGGCGGCGACCAGACAGACGCCTTTGGCATCGTGGCGCCCTTTGCGCGCAGGCCCAGCGTGCACAGCGACCTCATGTACGTGCGCCAGAAGGCGGGCGGTGGCCAGGCCAAGGACAAGGAGCGCTGTGTAATCAGCTAGAACCCCCTACCCCCAGCCCACGCAGAGGACAGAGCCTAAGGAGTACCGTTGTTCGGAAGTCCAATCCTGTGTCCGGTCCAGCCCTGTGTGCCCTGTGCCACGTGCTCGAGTGTGTAGTGGCTTCCCCCCTCCCCAGACTTGGGGCCCCACTAACTGGGGAGGTGAAAAGGCCCGGCCACCTGCTCTGGAAGGAAGACCTGGGTGATACTGGGACCCCTCCCATCTGATTGCCCGTTGGCGCCCACCACCCTCACTACCTGGGGGACAAAGGGCCAGCAGGGGGTGAATTTGTCTGGTTTGTCACAAAGACCCAAGAATTGGGAGGGTGTATGTGTTAATCAGCCACTCTTAGTCTTGGAGAAACCCGCCCCCGCTGGAGGGTTAGGAGGAATGGAGTTATCTTGTCTGTGATTCCGGGTTGCCATGACAGCTGGCAAAAGCCTTTGCCCTCTTGAAACTAAGGGGTGTGGGTCAAATCAGCCAAGTGACTTGTTTACATGCGTGTGTGAAACTGCGCAAAGGAAAAACAAAACTTGCACTTTAACAGTAGTTCTGTTGTTGTCATGAACAAAATCTCATCCAGATGTTTATACTGTAAGACAGTCTTTATTGTTTTTTAAAATATAAAATAATTTAAAATGAAAAACCATGCTTTCTTTGCTTCTAGATGTGGCAGGAGGGGAAAGGGAGGGGACGGGTTTCTACTTCAGTGGAATTAGGCTTACCTTCCCCAGAGCTGGCAAATAACCCTGGCATTCTAAAAACACCTTCAGTTCTCCTGGAAGAAAAGCAACCCTCTCCACGACCCCCGCCCCCCGCCCCCGCAAAAAGCTCCAGGTGACTGGGCTGAGGCCCTATTTGGGGAACAGTTCCTGAGGAGTCAGGGACAAAAATAGAGGACTTCAGGGTCATTCCCAGAGATGCATCTTTGTGGCTATTTACCTTAGGTCCCCGGTGGCCAGCCACAAAGGTCCCTGGGGCTGTGTTCCAACCTTTTTGTCCTCTACTCAGTGCAGGCCTAGGGCGACAGCAGTGGTCAGACCTGAAACTCCCTGGGGGAGTGAGATGCCACTCAGCCAGCAGTCACAAATAGGGAAGTAGGGCCCAGGAAGACCGTTCTGCTGTGGGGCTGGTGCCTGACTCCTCAGCCTGGCCCCATGTCTGTGTGGAGACAGAACCAACCAGCACCCCCCCCCGCCCCCCCATGCCCCTCTAGCTGCAGGAAGTACGTTCTGCTCCAGATAGGGATCTTGCACCCTTCTCTGTGTGCTCCTTTTGTCAGCAGGGAAGGGCACCTGCCCCCAGTTCAGGACCCAGTTCTCTGCCACTCTTAATAGTGCAAGCTTGGGGCAAGTGACACCTGCCAAGTCTCATATTCTTTACAAGGAAAACACAAGAAGGTCATTACATGTGATCATTCAAAACTACTCAGCACAAGTGCCTGCCACCCAATAATGCAAACCACTGGCCTCAAGAGGGTGCTCAGCCCCTTGAGGGCCCCTCAATGTTGCCCCAGGTAGAGGTTTCAGCTGCGCTCTGGGGAGGGCTGCTCCCACCAGGGCTACACCCACCTCTGGAATGAGGGATGACCACCCACCAGGCCACTGAGCCCCTGGGAACAGATGCCAGCTCCTGAGAGGAGTTCCTGTTTTTACGTTAGTTTAGCCATGTGAGGTGAGTGCTGGGGGAGGGGGGGCTTGGAGGGGGTGTGCAGTGGAGGTTGTCACAATTTGTTCTGTCTTCTCTCAGCAAAGTGAACATACCCAAGAAACATCCTACTATGAATTTCTCAGAACAAAATCCAAGATGTCCTGAGAGCAGAGCACCAGTTCATTTAATTATACTCTTGAAAAATGTCACAAGCCATTAACACTGACATTTCAGCCTTGCAGGAAGGCCCCAGTGGTCCTGTATTCTATGTGATTCTTGTTTCATGGTATTTGGTCAGAGCCTTAAAACTGGCCCACACACTACTGTGAAATTTCAAGAAAATAACTGATTCAGTTAAATAATGGTCCCAGGGTAGAAGTCTATTATAGGTGACTATCCACTTAAATTCAGAGCCTGCTTTTCTGTCCAAAGCCACTGAAACTTGATATCCCCCTTCACACATATGAGTTCCCAACATCCCTGCCATCTGACAGGTGGCTGGAGGGCCACAGGAACAGAACCCCTGCTAAAACATCTTCAGCCAACCTGCCAGCTAACGGATGCCTTCGGTCAGTCAGCAGGCATCCATTAAGCCCCTGAACTGGTCAGCACAGGTTATTCGCTCATTCCTACATTTAAACAGTATTCGGTTACTATTCTCACCTTATCCTTAAGGGGCAAATAAAACATCTTACCTGCAAGAAATTAGGGGTGTTTGTAAACATTTTATAAACCAGAAGTTGGCTGCGTAGCTTCCAGGTATAGCTCACGCCACCCTTCAGAACCGAATCAGAACTGCTTGGTCACACCCGTTTACCTGGAAGCTGTCTGAGTCTGCGTTGAAACAACCGTGCCCTCCGGCCCTGTGTTAGGTTTGAGGTGGTGTGGCCACTCTTGGGCACTAATGGCTAAACGGGATGCCTGACAATGACAGGAAACTAAGGAAGCAAGAGCTAAAAGTAACAAGAACATGTAGGTGGCAGAGAACCTGGAGAAGGAACCACCTGGCAGGGTTCTGGCTGACATCCGCATGGACAGTTACACTGGCTCAAACATAAAAAGAAACAAACTGTTTTGGGAGAAAAAGCCACCCTGTAGCCTTTCAAAACAATGCCCTCTTGCAGCCTTCCTTTGCCACTTGAAACCCATGCCATGTGAGCACAAGGCCTCATCTGTCTAGAGGATTCTATGCAGATGTTGAGTGGCACTGCTGTTACAGAACAATATGTATCTGGTACACAATGATTATGTCCAGGGGAGGAGGAGAGGCCTCCTTTCCTACTCTGCTCTTTAGATATGCCAGTGGAGCTGGAACACAGAGCAGATGCCCCCCAGAGGTAGGCGTGGAGCCTCTAGGAACATTCATTACACATATATACACATAGATACATATTCACACACACAAACACAAACACATACATGGAAGCTCTCACAAAACCAAGCTCCCAGGTGGGCTCCTCTCACAGTCAATGCCAAGCTCAGCTAAGGAAGCAGTAGAGTGGCCCCCACCCCAGTCAGCTACAGAGTCCAGAGTTGGCACTGACCCACACCAGCCTCGGCTCTCTCATAGGCATCCCTGAGAGCCCGCCTCGTCTACTCCTTGGGGATCTCGAACATGCAGAGGCTCTTGTACTTCTGCAGAAGCTCGTTCTTGGTCCTGACTTGCTCCCGGAGGCTGTGCAGCTGCTGCTGCTGCTGCTCGGGGCTCAGGTGGATGCCAGGCATGGTGCTGATGACCTTCCGCATCTCCTGGAACTTGGTTTTGAGAGCGTTCAGGTCCTGGTGGACATCTGGGCTGTCCTTGTCCATGCTGCAGAGGTCAGAGGGAAGTCATTAGCGTTCACAGCTCAGATCAAGACAACCCTGGGCTTCCCTCCTCTGCACCCACAGAACTCTTGCTTTCTGTCTGTCCCCTTACTTGGCTGTGTGAACCCAGAGAATACGGACTGGTTCTCTGTCATGCAGCCTTATGGCAGGCATGTGACAGCTGCTCAGTAAAAGCGCCCCAGTGCCCAGCAGTGCCCGTACAGCCCCTCTTACATCTGCTTGCAAAACTAGATGCTTACATCAACTAGCTGAGAGGGCAGGACCCCTGTCTGCCCACTGACAGCTGTATCCCCAGTGCTTAGGCACTTGGGCACTCCAGTAGCATTTGCTGAAAGAATGAGTACTTTCAACAAATAAGTTTATAAATGTCTGTTGGATGAACAAACCATTACCAATATCAGGTGACAAATGGCAAGCAAAACTTGCTGAAACACCACATTTCTTCTTATTTGAGCCATTTCCAGGCCAATGGAGAGACTATAAGCTAACAGCAGCTAATTTTAGCTGACCTTTTGATCTTGAATCTGTTAACAGAAAAACTTATTTCTACAAAGCTATTCATAAAATTGAAATTAGTTACAAACTATTGAAAAATTTTCTGCAGGTATGAGCTCTCCCCTATCATAGTTATGTAAACTCCCTGCCTTCAGGTCAAGTTCATCTTAAAGGTGGGATCATTCACTTCAGCTATTATTAGTTGCCCGGAGATCCATGCTACCCTGTCATAGTTCAGTAGGTGGTTCTATAGGTCATAATCCATTGAGGCCTAAGAAGGGAAAACTGTCAATGATTATTTCTTAAAAATAAACATTCCCCCCTAGTGGGAAATTTCAACCCAGACAGTGCTAATTCATATTTATCATTCATCACTTCCCTGATTGTGCAGACAGAATGTCCATCTTTCCTGGTAATCCTTCGGTCACAGCTCATACCTGGCAAATGAATGGCCGCTAGGGCCTGCTCACTACTTACTAATACTCTCAACTCAGAGACAGGGTATGGCACATCGATCACTCATTCTCAGGAATTAATGGCCAGACATTTCTTATTGTCATCTGAGGCCCCCAATTTATATATGTCCACACTTAATGGTGTATCTTCCCTCAGTTTCTAGGGAGGAGTATTCTTTCTTTCTTCTTCTTTTTTTAAGATTTATTGACTTATAGAGAGAGGGAAAGGGAGGGAGAAAGAGAGGGAGAGAAACATTGATCAATCACCTCCCGCACCCCCCCAACCAGGGACCTGGCCTGAAACCCAGGCACGTGCCCTGACCAGGAGTCGAACTGCCACCTTTCAGTTTGCCGGACAACGCCCAGCCCACTGAGCCACACCTGTCAGGGCAGGAGCAGTATTCTTGAGAGCTGTAAGGAAACAAATCAGGAGCATGGTTTACTTTAGTACTTTTGGGTCTCAGCTCTGATCCTCGACTCTGGATGGAAACCACCTATACTCCTGAAATCATTATACTTGGATGGCACATTTGTTAACAGTTATGGATTTAAGCTCTGAGGGACTTTTGAAATTACAGTTTTAAGAAAACTGATTAACGTCACATAAGTCTGAAAGGACATAGTAAAAACAAACAAAAATACATGAAAGTGTGGAAGGAAGTTAGGATAACCCAGTTCTGGAGGCAAATATTACCTGACCCCAAAGAATTTTTAAATCTGAAAGTAAAATGTAGACCATGTTTAAGATGTTCATTTCTGAAAGCCCCCAGATCCCAAGGGCTGCCCGTTCTTTCCCAGGTGAACTTTCAGTGGAGGGCATCATCGTCGTCAGGCAACAGACAAAGAGCCACAGGAAAGGGTCACCTGAAAGGCAGCTGAGCTGGAATGGGGTCACGCTGACCACAGCAAGGCCCCTCTGCACACCCCTCAGCCTGCCCTAGTTGCGGAGGTAAACAGCATGGAACTCCTGGGATGAGAAAAACACTCTATTCAGGAACCAGCTCTCACTGAGTGGAAACCTGCTAGGCCAGGATGACTGTGTGATGCTTAAGCCAAGAGAAAAGAGGCCCAAACACTGAGTGAATAAAAGCAGAAAGCCCCAGATGAGCCTGCCTTTGTGTCCGATGTTAGTCACCATCTAACTTTAGACAGAAAGGAGGAGACTAGGCCAGGCCAGGAAGTGCCAACGTCGTACCAACAGAGCAAGGTGAGGGTACTTTGGTCCCACCTACTGTAGTTTTTAAAAGGTGGACAAAATATCACTCCTATGGCTTGACTGACAGGCCATTTCCTGACAGTCTTTTGTGCACATCTGGTTAACACTGAGTATCATTTCAGCAATGGACACAGACATCCTGAATTTGTGTCACCAGAGTTCAGGGCAAACATCACAGGTTTAGGTGGGTGCATCCAAGAACAGTGTTTAGCATGGGTGTTAGTACGTACGGCACAGCTTGGTTTTTAATGTAAGTGCTTTGGGACTCGAAAATGCAGACTGGCAACGACCGAGCCAAAGCATGCCCACAAGTAGCTTAGAAGTATAAGGAACCTACCAGATCACTGAAGCCAACCGCCTCCAAAACCTGTCACTTCTTGTGACCTCTTGGTGACATCTGACTCAGTTTCCCATTTCCTTCTCCTCAAAACCTCCATCCCCTTCAGCCTCCTGCCCCTAGTGTCCTAGCTGGACCATCCTGGGACTGGTCCCTCTCACCCTCTCTGCCTCCCACACTAACTTCAGTGGCTGGCATCTTCTTAAGCTAGTGTCTTTGTTGTTGCTGTTATTATTTATTACGACAGCAATAGGTACTGGAGTAGCAAAATTAAAATGACAGATACCAAGGCTTAGAAAAGTCCCTCTGATGTTGTGTCCCAGAGACAACCTCTGTTAATATGTGGTCTCTGCTGTTTCCCATTGCTTCAAAATACACAGTAACACACAAATACGCACGTTTTCACTGTGGCCACACTACACACATGGTTCTGACTCTGCTTTCCCCCTTTGGATGTCTTTTCCTGTTAACACATATAACACAGCTAAATTATCTGGCTGTTGATGGGTCTTTGGATATTCGTGGTTTATCATTTACAATTAGAGTAACATCAGACATTTTATACCTATATCTGTATGTATTCGTGCGAGTATCTTGGTAAGATAATTTTCCAGAAGTGGGATTTTGGGATCAAAGTTTATGGATATATTAAAAATTCTGACAGGTTACCAAATGCCCTCCAAATGCCCAGTGACTGTGGACACAACACTGCTCTCCTCCCACTCTCGACAACACTGGCCATTACTTACTTGTGGTCAGCTGTACTTCCCTGCCCCAGTTCTGCCTGCATGTAAGGGAACTGTGGGAGAGAGTCTCTGAATCCCACTCTTACCCTTGCTTTTATCTATTTCTGACTTACATGTGAAAAAAAAACTTTTTAGGGAGGAATAACAAGATGTTTTGTTAAAAGAAGTCTGAAACCCCGCCCCCCCCAAACACTGCTCTACAAAACAGTCCAGAACGTGTTTGTCTGCTCTTCTGTCTTCAGATGCTGAGAGTGCTGCCCAGCCCTCCTTTCTGAAATTCAGCTTCCTTGTCCCAACAGTTACCAAGAATTTTCTCCTTGGAGACTTGCAAAGCCAAAGGAAACTCACTGCCTCCTTAGCACACTCAAATTCAGGTGAAGGGTGCCCCGTTCACACAACTACAGTGAGCTAGAAGCACGAGCTTTGTGCCCCACTGTTTACTCAGCTGCCAGTCCTGCCAACGTCACTTCCTATGTACCCCTCAGGTCCCCTGGCCTCCTCCTCGTTCTGTCACCAGTTTCCTACAGACCCAGGTCCTCTCCCTCTCCTAATCCCCTTTTCCCCACCAACCTCAACAAAACTCAAGTCTATGCTAAAAAACTTCAGATGATTTCCCCACTTCCAGACAACACCTGCCGGCAGGTTCCCTGCAAAGGGAGCTACCCAGGCCCACACACATGGAGCCTCCAATCTCTCAACATCCCATTCTTCCCAAGACCCAGGATGAATGTTCCACCGTTAGCATTACTCATGTTGCACTAAGTAACTTCAAACCCATGTGGCTGCCTTTACAGAGCCTGCGTCCCAAGAGGTGCTTGGTAGGTTATCTTGCATGAACAAAGATGAAGTGGCACAGGAGAGGGAAAGAACAGGCTTGTAAGCAGGCCTAGAAATAATTCTTCCAAACAGGCTACAAATGTCCCCTGTCTGGGGGCTCACCCTTTTCACCTGGGACTTGGCTGAAGGAGAAGAAAGTGAGCAGCAGAGACGCTGCAGTAACATGAGTGCAGACAAGCCCTGTGGAACCGGTGGGTCATCTTGTAGACTCTGCTAAGGTGGACACTACTTCCTCTACAACCCAAGGATGGGCCTCAGCTGGCGTGGAAGGCCAGTCAGATTAAAACAGATACTTGTGTGGGGAGGGGCAGGTCGGTAACACCCTGGTCCCATGAAAGAAGTCTTACAGGGCTCTGAGGTCTTGTTGACCTGCCTCAACAACAAGTGAACTTGTTTTAAGCAATACAGCTCCAGCTTAAAAGTTCTAGGACAAAGTAGTGTGTTCACCACTTGAAATATCTCCACAGTATCGAAGATGAAAGCTCCCCTCTACTTACCCAGCTACCTAAAAAATTACTGAAAAATTAAATTAAAAAATGTCTAAGTACCCATTTTGACAAAAATATTTTTACTAGGTGAGCCAAAGCCATCAGGCAAGGCAGTAACAACTACAATTCACAATTCCTAGGCTGGGACACCTTAATTCTAGACTCAGATTAGATTTAGCAACTTTGAAGGAAACAAAAATTATAACTTTCCCTGGTCCAAGAGGCCTCATTTTATTTCTTCTTTATTATATATGTACTTCTATACCATGGCTTTTATGCATACTAGAAAAGGTCTCAGACAGTTGGGATCTATAAAATTTCTTACAGGCATAAAAATGAGGTTTTTCTTTTCCCTTTCCTCATTCTTTGAAAATGACATAAATGTTAGTTTGGACTTTTCATTTAGCCACAGACAAGACACCAGGAAGGATGAAAGTGCTCTGGGCTGTGGAACTCCTCTCCAACCCCAGGCCGGTGCACTTCAGCCAAAAATATGTGGCATTTCCCTGGGCAAAGAGGGGGCAGCAGGCACGCCAGCAGAGGTTCTGGAGTGTGCACAAGTCTGATGACTCCATCTACCCACAGGGCACTCGCATGAGAGTGACTCACGTGGGGCTTTGTTACATAGTTCAGGCAGGAGATTTGAAGATGCTCTGCAGAGATCTCTGAATGGAGGACTAAACATTGGCAAAAACAACTTGGAAAGATTTTTTGAGCAGAGAAAAAGTAACCCGTTAACATACACAGGACGAACTAGAGAGATAAGAGGATGAAGGTAAAGAGACAAATTAAAAAATGATTATAAGATCCAAAAATGAGGTTAGAAAACCTGGACCATTAGTGGTGTCTACAGGCCCACTGGAAATAGAACAGCAGACTAAAGCCTAACTGTTCTACTAACCAAAGCATAAGGTGTCTCAGACCTGTTCCTAGGAAATGGGCTGGGAAAGGTAGAGATGCCCCTGGTGAATCCTGACAAGAAAGAGGACAGAGAGATTTGCCTTGAAAGACAATTCAGTAGTTCTGCATACAAAGTGTAATGATGTACTTTATGCTAAACTTTTTATAAATGTTTAGTTGTAAACTTAACCCTTTTATACAAAATAAATCAAGTGTGTTTATTTAAAGAAAGAAAGAAAGAAAAAATGCAACGTACCATGAAGATTTGACAATGAAAACAGTTTGGTACTGGAGAAGAATACAATTTCCAGAATTTGATCAGGAACATGGGAACTCTGTGTATGATAGGGCAACAGCTCAAGCAGAGAAAATCATAAATATTCAGTAACAGCAGTGGGAAGATATGGCTAACTGGAGGGAAACCTGGGCCTCTCCCTTACTCTTTCCATCAAAATAAACCTAGAAGCATCAAAGAATTAAAAATAAAAAATGAAACCATAAGAGTCCTAGAAAAAAGGATCAACATCTATGATACTATTAAAGTAGGCCTTCTACCTAGGACCAGAACTCAGAAGCCATAAAGGAAGATCTTAATCAATCTGCCTCATAAAATGATGCGCTTCTGAACAACAACAAACCCCCTCAAGTCAAAAGAAAAGCAACAGCTCCAGGAAAATATTTAAAATACACTTGACAAAGGCATACTTCCTTACTGTACAGAGAGCCCATAAAAGAGGAATAACCTAATAGAAAAACGGGCAGTTTATAGGGAAGAAAATAACAAATGACATATAAAGTTGCATATGAAAAAATGATTTACCTCATATCATAAGACACAGATTGATACCATGTATCATTTCTGACCTATTAGATTAGCCAAGATTAAAAAGTTAATGGTGATGGAAGGTGGTTGGGAAAGATACAAATATACTGTTGTTGAGGCATAAATTGGTACATTCTTTAGGAATTTACTAATAGTGATCAAAATTTTAAATTCACAAATCCTATTGATGAGGACTCTTCAAGTAGTAACACAAGAAACTTAGAAAAAGAAATCCTTTTTTCATTTTACATCTTTCTGAATTTGCAATTTTAATTTTTTTAATGAAATGTTTTCATTAACCTAATGACGTAGTACTCTAAATTTTCACCAGAACAAGAGATTAAACTCATTTCAGCTTTTACTTCCTCATTCACTCCCTAGGCAAGGAGTAAACAAATAAAAAAGCTACAGAAGAGGAAGAGACCAGGTGAACGAGGTGGTCCTGGCCTGTATTTCCTTCCCCCAGGCCTGCTAGGACCATGTCCTTCCTACCTGGCTTCCCAGCCTGTATGCTGAGATATCACATCCACCTGATGTGAACACAAATCTGACTAAGCCACCCTGGGGTCCAAAAGCTTCACTAGCTCCCTCAAAGGACAAAATCTCACTTCCTCAGGGGGACACACAGTCGTCAGCATCCTGGTTTTTTCCACCTTTCTAGCACTCCCTTTCCACCTTGGATTTGTGTTCCAGCCCCACCAAAGTGAATGGACCTGCATGAGTTGATGCTATTTCTTGGTGTCCCACCCCCATCCTCCCTCTCATAATTTAAGATTCATCATTGGTTCACCCCTTCGTAAGCCTTCTGACTCCTCCATGTGTCACGAGGTCTCCTCTCCCATCACTGCCCCATCTTCTTCCCTCCTTAGACTAGAAACTCACATACATGCTTAGACATATTTTAAAATCGGATCCTAGCCTTTTTTCATGGTTACCATATCTCTCCGTCTCTTTGTGCCTACTATGTCAACCAAGTGGCTTTTTGTGTTCCTCTTTCGTCCTTTCTTCCTAGGGGTTTTCTTCAAATGCTTAGTGGCCTTGGTTAACCAGTCATATGAACCAACTAGGTTCTTTCCTGGGGGACCCTCAGTGACTTTTCCCTTGGGCTGGTCAGACACTCACAAGAAGGTACCTCTATTTCTTTTGGCTGCCAGTGGAGAAGACAGGTGGCGGAAGGCAAGGGTGGGGTCTTAGTATTATTCAGTGTGTGAACCTTGTCTTAAACCCTATTTTCAGAATGGTTCCCTCCCCTCAAACTCCAGCAAAGTGCCTAGTGTCTCTGCAGTCCAGATACTCTCTGACTCATTCTCTCCTGAGAATAAATCTTAGGAAAGAGCAACCCTTTGTCTTCCAAACTGAAAGAGGGGTGGTTACCTGTCTGCTTACACTTGGGGGAGAGAACTATGGGGATCTCCTTCTTAAATTAACTTTTAAGTAATCCTCCTGTTCTCGGTCCCACTCCCTCTCTATTTCCACAGGTCTCTTCCTGAGATTTAGGGGGAGGCCATGGTCAAAAGCAGCTGCTTCTGGCTGCTTCTTGGGGCTGAGAGTGGGTTAGCCCTTGGCTATCTGCTTTGTGTCAATTATCTCCTCTCCTGTTTCTTTTTTGTTTTGTGTTAAAAACCAAACCAAACCAAACAGCCCTGGCTGGGAGGCTTAGCTGATTGGAGCATGCCCCATATACCAAAAGGTTGTGTGCTCAATCCCTGGTCTACACACAGACCTAGGTTGCAGGTTCAACACCCCGCTAAGGTGCGTACCTCACAACTGACCAATGTTCCTCTCTCACATCGGTATTTCTCCCCTCCTCTACTTTCCTCTCTCTCTCTCTCTCAAATCAATAAACTTATCCTCAGGTGAGGATTAAAAAACAAAAAACACACAACTTTTCCTTGTCCTTTTAGAGAAGACAAACACATATAACCAACCCATCAACATCTTCACCAGACTGCTCTTGAGTACGCCTCACAACAATCTTATGATTCAAGTATTATTAGTCCCATTTCACAAGAGAAAAAGAGGCTCAGAGAAGCTAAGTTGTTAAACCATGGTCACCTCGTCAGTACATTATAAAATTATAGTTCAAATCCATTGTTTGAGGCCCATTATTGTTATTCACGTATTAGAGATGAAAAAAAATTAAGGCCTTAAAAAGGCTATGTATTCACCAAGAGCACATGGCAAGCAAGCCTCAGCATGAGATCCAAATCCAAGGCTCTGCCCTGGAAGCCCATGTTTACTCAGTGTACCTCATAACCCCATTTAAGGGCAGCCCGACATGACTGCTCTACTGGGGCTCAAGAACGTACTCCCAGGGGCATAAGAACTATCTCTGGGACCGTGTCCATTGTGTTTTCATTTCTCCATATTTCTATTAAAACCAGTATATTTGTGATCCAGCTCTGCCCTGGGGCTGCAGGGGCTGCATCTGCATTTGTGTTTGCGATCTCACTGCAGCCAGAAGAGCCACCTGATGATCAGAGGTGAATTCATGAGAAGAGAACACAGTGTACTCCGCCCTATGAACAGTATGGTCACACCAAGTGAAACCGAAGGAAGCTGGGGTGCACTGTGAGAACAAGGCCTTGCAGTTGTTTGAAAAGCGAAGGGTCAGGCTGTCCCATCTCAAGTGAACCCAGTCTGGCTAAACTCAGAACAAGCTGGACCATGACAGCCAACACTTGGATGTTGTAAGGAGCAATTCCATTTCAGCCAAACATCCAAGAGGACAGAAATGTTCCCTTGAGTGTCACTGCAACCGTAAACCTGTTTTAACTTACTTTGTTTTGGTTTTCAATGGTTGGGTAAGAACTGTTAAGCTGAGCAACTTACACTTAGTATCGTGTGGATATAAATAACAGCAGTAAAAATAGCTTGAGCCAACACAGGATCCACGAGGCTTTCGGCTGCATTTTTAGCTTCCTTTGCACTGTAAGCAGGCTCCGTTTTAAAGCTCAGGTAACCTGCAGACTGGCCCAAGGACCGCAACCTCTGCTCTGACGGTGTGAGACCGGCCTGCAGGGATCGACTCCGGAGCAGCTTCGTGTCTGCTTGCTTTGACGGTTCTCTTGGTCCCCCTCTGCACCTCCTGAGCTAGGGGTTATTCCCGATTGTGTCCTCTTCCCTCTCACTAGTGAGCGCCCCAGCGAGCGAGCAAATGTGGGGGTGGAAGCGGCCCTTTTTACTGTGCACATCGCACGCAGCAATGGGCCATCCTGGGGAAATTATGCATGTCTGTTAGAGCTGCTGAAAGCAAAGCGCAGTGAGCACCACCCTGTGTCACGGGTGAAAGCCCGGGGTTCGAAGCCGGGCTCGCCCTAGGAGTGCAGGGTCGGTTCCGGTGAGCACACCTGGGCGCCCATCACCAGGTCTGCCACTTGAGGCTCCGAGCATCTGCTACCTCAGGGACAGCCCAGTGCGGCCTGGTCGAGGCCTCTTCCCACGAGTCTCGGCTTCGCCTTTTATGAATGGGGGCGTCTCCGAGCGCGCCTAGGTCCCTGCCGCTCTGCAACGGGACGAGGAGTGCGTGCCCGTGGCCGGTCCTACCGCGGCCCTTACCATTTGATGATGTTGTGGACTAAAGGTAAGAAGGAATAGGTCTCCTCCTTCATGGCCGCAGGGGAGGGAGGCCTCGGCGCCGGCGAAGGCTGCTGCGGCGCGGCGACCGGCGGCGGCGGCTGAGGCTTCGTCTCGGGCAGCGGTGGCTCGGCCGGCAGCGGTAACGCATCCTCGGCTTGTCGCCCGGTGGCCAATCCGGCGGAAGCCATGGCGCTCGGGACTCCGCGAGTCAGCCAGTCGACGGGTCAGTCAGGAAGCAGGACTTAGGCGGCTAGCGGCCAAAAGTGTCGCGGGACCCCTGACGTCACTTCCGCACGCCTGTGGGGGCGGGACCTGGAGGGTGGCCGGGGCTTGTGCGCTAGGGGGCGGGGCGGGGCGGGGCGGGGCGAGAGGTGGGGCGGGGCTCGCTGTTACTAGGCAACAGGCGGTGAGCGGGTGTGGGGTATCCTGAATTTGGTGGTGAAGATAGCTGAATTATCATTCAGGAATAGGAGATTTATTTCAGAAAAACAATTTATTCTCACTCACTTGACGAAGAGGGCCCAAAAGCCACTCATAGAGAAAGCCTGGAGGTAAATAACCGTCAGCAACTTGAATTGCGAGCACCTGTTCTGTGAAGCTCTGGGCCTACCGGCGCTGAGAACTCAGGGATGAAGGACCCACAGCCCTGCACCGCGCAGAGGCCCCCAGGAGAGCGAGCAGCCCCTGGCCGAGCTGGCGGGGCAGGACTCCGTGCTAGTTCCAGAAACGGAGAGACCTCGAGATTGCTCCCCCCGAGTTCCTCAAGGCTGGGAGGGAAAGCAATAATAATTCAACATTTAATATGCATCTTCTAATGTTGTGCTGGATGTGGGAGGAGCCGTGGGAAGGCTTCCTAATACAAAGCAGAAGGGGATTGGTGTCAGGAATAACATATCCGGGAAGAAAGTCAATGTCTCCATGTGTGTGGGCCAGTTTCTTAAGCCCCCAGGCCCCAGTGTCCTCACCTCTAAAATCTGCTTTAGTTCATGGTCATGGCAGAGCCTAAACTGCTCTCTTCAGATACATGATTGACCTCCAAAGGTCTGGTTTAAAGACACCCTAAGATTCAAGGCCAAAGTGGGCAACTTTTGGGGGGGTTGTAGGTATGTTCCTCAAAACAAGTATAATTTCTGGGCAATGGAGACACCCATCATAAGCCTAGCTAGTGGGTGGAAGAAGACATGAGCTAGGAAAGCATCATTCTTCCTCAGGCTACCATCACAGGCCGTTATAGAGAGGCCAGGAAGTCCACATTCTGGTAGCAAGAGTTGCAGTCACACTCCAGGCCAAGGGATGGTCCCAAGGAAAGTGGATGCCAACATTAGCTGAGTCAGGAGAGGTCTCTGGAGGCAGAGGCTAGGGAAGCTGGATTGCAGAAGGAGGTAGAGAAGTAGGAGGATGTGCCGTAGAGGCTCTCGAGTAACGTGCCTCAATGCAGCTTTCTTTGGCAAGAACTGCTCATGGCCCCCAGTGGGAAAGCAGGTGGAAGGAGAGGCTGAAGGGTTTTCTTCCCACAGACTGTAGACTGTTCCATGAAGGAAGAGTTCAAGAGTCCTGGTTGAGAGTGGAGGAGAAAGTCCTGTTGGGTTAGGACCAAGCATGTTTGAAGAGGCTGTGTACCCGTGGAGTCATCTGGGGAAACAATGATGATATAATAGTAATAATAATAATAGTAATTGCCACAACCACCATGGAATAAAAGTAGGTACAAGGCACAGAGTCACAATCATTATCTCATTTAATCCACAAAAGAGCCCTAGCAGGTAATTATTTTCTGCATTTTGTAGAGGAGGAACCTGAGGCTTACAATGGTTAAGATACCAATCTCAGGGTCACACAGCTTGCCTGACACTGAGCTTATCGTCTTAACCAACACATGGGAGACCTCAGGTCCCTACCAGTTCTGTAAATTTGTGATTTGAAATGTAGAAGTAAAATTTTTACTCAGAATTCGAAAAGCAGTCTAACATTCACCAGTAATATACCCATGGCACCCTGGCTGGGTAGCTCAGTTGGTTGTGTTACTGAATGCGGGTCCAGCTGCCTGCACCTACAAAAGCCAGTAATTGAGAGGCAAATACTGATGTAAAGGAATGTGGTTTATTTTGCAGATGCCAACCATTTGGAAGATGGGGCACTCACGTCTCAAAGCCCATCTCACGCCTCAGTGCAGGCAGAGGTTTTTATAAGGAGGGAGAAGGAACAGAATAGAGGTCAGGGGAGAGGGCTGCAAAGTTCTCTATGTGCAGACGAATATGGTCCATTCTGATAAGCAAAGTGCATCATCCTGGTTTCACACCATCCTGACTGTGCATCATCCTGGTTTCACACCATCCTGACTTCACATCATCCTGGATCGACATTTGAAAGTCAGCAAATCTCCTGGAGCTGGGATGCCTGAAGGTCGGAGTCTATCTTTTGCAGTTAGTTCCTAGGACTCTTAAACAAATATGCTGTTTATCCACAAGCTACATATTAGAGTCAGAATTACAGAAACAATGTCTGAATGATGGGGTGGGTTATAATTTTCCATTATTATGATTTTCCACTGTTACAGTTACAGTGTCATCCCATACACTAAAAGGTTAAGGGTTTGATTCCCAGTCAGGGCACATACCTAGGTTGTGGGTTCAATCCCCGGTTGGGGTATATATGGGAGACAACTGGTGGATGTTTCTCTGTCACATCGACATTTCTCTCCCTTTCTCTCTGTCACCCTCTCAAATCAATAAAAAACATCTTTGGGTGAGGATTAAAAAAATAATATCCCCATGGCAATTGCATGTCATGTTTTCCCTTCAGTGGTTTTATAACTTAATTACAAGCCTCACTTTTATTGTTGACAAAACATGAAGAAACTTCTTTTTTAGAAAAATTAAAAAATACTTTAGGTATAAATAAACATAGCTCAAGAAAACCAGTTGAAACATAGGAGGCATGAATAAGACTATTTGCATTGACAATTTGCCCTAAAAATAGTTAATATAATTAGTGACAAAGAGTAAAGCTGATTTCATAACACTGTAAGCAGATGCCAAAAAAAAAAAAACCCTGCTGGTTTCATTAAAGCTGAAATTGCTTAAAAAATATGTGTCTGTTCATAACTGTTTTATTAAAAGCTAAAAAAGCAGATGTTCTATTGATATGTAAGGACTGTATAATGCTAGAGACGTCATTAGATTAAGCTGTTTGTCATTGCTTCCTTGGGCAGATTCACATTTTCTCACAAGCTTTTCCAGGCCAGGTGGCAGTCACAAAGTCCAGCCGTCGTAGAGCCAGCTCCCTGCCTGCAGCAGCATGATGTTGCACCACCAAAGTGCATATGCAAGACTTTGCAGTGTAGAAATAAGGTTTATTGGACAATTGACCAATTCCGAGTGTGGGGAGCCAATGCTGTGAAGACCGGACTCCTCGAGGCTGTGTAGGTTACAGATTATATAGGGCAAAACCACCTCACCTAGTGCAACCATGCAGCCTTCCAGCGGACTGGACAGGTTATTATAGATAAGTCACTTAGAAAAGTATCTGTGAACAGTAAACAGGTCCTATTGCTCAGACTGAAGGCTTCCTCCTTCCCTGACTAACAAAACCCAAACTGACAGCATTAAGAGGGAGGATCTAGATCAAAGCTCTCAAACAGATAAACAATGTGAGCTGTAAATCAAACCACATACTTCGTTTTCAATTTTCTAGTAGCTACATTAAAAAAAAACACAAGAAACAGGCAAAATTAATTTCAATATATTTTATTTAACCCACTATACCCAAGATACTATCATTCCAACATATAATCTATATAAAAATTATTCAAAGTATTTTACTGTTTTTCATACCATCTTAGAAACCCAGCTGTACTTTACGCCTACAGCCCATATCAATTCAAATAGCCATGGGTCTGGTGCTCAGTAGCCAAACGTGGCCAGCAGCTACAAGACTGAATGGTACAGTCTGAGGGGTCAATACATGCCAGCATAGAGCTCAGTCTCAGCAAAGAGAGGAAAAAAGCAAGTTGCACAAAGAAAATAAGAGTATATTACTACTCAGGGAAATGTTTCACACAGCAAAATTACACTATATATCATCCATAGATAGAAGATGCACATGTAACAATACCTTTAAAAGGAATTACAGTGAAGGGTATACCTCACTGCAGTGTCAGTGCCTGATGGTGAGCTTTTCACTGCTGTGGCATCCATTTCAAGGACAGACTGCAGGCGGCACAACTAGATAGAGAGCCCCCTGAAGTCTCCCTTTTAGAAAGCCCTGGGCAACCTAGATTGATTGACAGTTTGACTACTTGCTTTCCCTTCCTGTGCTTTAATTCCTGCTCTTATGTTTTAAATTCAACAAATAAGAGTGAACCACTGAAAATCTAGACACCGCACTCTCCACCCCAATAAAGACAGATCCCAGGTCTTCTCTCTCTCTCTTCTCTCTTTCTGTGTCTCCCTGTGACCCTGGAAATGCTGTGTGCCCTCAGGAGTTATAATAAACCTTGTTTTTGCAAAGTTCCCTGATGGCTATTGCTAAGGTGTGTCTTGCAATTAATGTTACCAGGACCCCAATACTTGAATCTGTCTGCCTGGCACACTGGTTCAGGAGAAGTGCATATGCAAGACTTTGCAGTATAGAAATAAGGTTTATTGGACAATTGACCAATTCCGAGTGTGGGGAGCCAATGCTGTGAAGACCGGACTCCTCGAGGCTGTGTAGGTTACAGATTATATAGGGCAAAGCCACAAGACACTGTGGGTATGGGGGTTCCATCATTGTGCTGGGAACTGATTTGTCAGATGTGAGGGAAGGGTAATTGATAATTTCTTAAGCTCTGAGGTCTGCCCTGTGTTCTTCTGTCTGGTCTGAAGGGAAAGTAGCCAGGGGGTCAGTGAAGAGGGCTCAGGTGTTGAAACATAATTTAGGTCAAGATGTTATCTTTAGCCTGCCAACTATTGTCTTCTGCTGCCTTGGGGGTTTCTGCTTATCAGGGAAATAATAAATCTATGAGGGGGATACATATAGAGAGATATGACTTCTAGAGCTAGGATTTAAAACTAAATTCAATTAACATCATAAGGACTCCTGGGTTCCAGAACTATAAGAGCCAGGCCAGCCACGTTGGTTCTGTGGAGACTGCCATAAGAGGGGTGGGCCTGGGGGGGGGCGTGTCCCAGGCATCCTGATGATGGCGTCACTCTGGACAGGCTGAGACAGATGCAAAACACTCAAAGTCATGGGACAGGGATGGGAATACAACAGGCACTGTG